AGAACCCCTGTCCCCTGCTTTTCCAAGCGGCCCTTTTCCAAGCGCCATCTCCCATGTGGCACTCCTGGGAGGTGCGTGTTTACGTGTGTGCATATGTGCGTGGAGGGGTGGAGACAGGAGAAAGTTCTCTGTGTGATTGCCACCAATCTTAGCTTTGGGCTGAGACGAAGTGAAGCAAGAGTGATACCATGTGCCAGGAATAAGAGCAAGTGTGGTATCCAGTACTTTTTCACCTTGGTTCAGAGGACTGGAGAGAAGGCTTAGTCTGCAGTGTTCCCCTCCGAGACGGAGAGCAGGAGCCTCGATCAGGATTCCACTCTGCTCCTTTGCATGAAGGGATCGGCTGTCTGGGGGATGTAGAAGTGAGGCTTTGCATAAATTTTTTTAACTAAAAAGCAAGGTTAAAAATTAGAACCTGATGGAGGACCCAGGTTGCTACTCTAACCTGATAGCTGCCCTTCAGCTTCCTCTGGAGAATGATCATGCCCCATGGCCTCCGTGGGGCACTTGGAAGACTGACGAGCTCTGGTGAGGCTGCTCCTGTGGCAGGGTTCCTGCTGCCCCAAGTCCAGTGCATAAAGTCAGAGGTGGGAACTAAAAGGCATCTTCCCATGGGAGCGAGGACTCCATGGGCTGTCTGGACAGAATCACTTTGATGCAGACCAGACCTGTACCTGCTGCCCTTGGGGAAGAACAGGGCTGGGCTGCCATCTGCCCTCTGCCAGTCTTTGTTCTCAGTTTGGACCCTACTTGGTCTTCCCCTTCCTGCCCAGATGCCACCAGTTGGACGACTGCTGCAGGCACAGGAGCGTCTCCAGGGCACAATGGCATGCCAGGTCCCACCTAACGTCTCTATTCCTCATCTGGGAGTGCTGTGATCAGCAGGTTGGCTCAAAACTAGGAGGGGTTGGGAAACCCCTCGGGCAGGAGATTTCAAAACAAGATTCAGATTAGAAAACACATAGTGGGTGGGGTTCTAAGGAATGAAGGAGGCAGGAAGAACTCCTGTCCGGACACCCTGCTGGATAGCGGGGATACACAGAAGAGCCAAGAATGGAGGGGTAGCAGTGCAGCCCCCAAAATGCAAGTGCCAGGCTGTTCCTTGTCTGCCTGTCCCCACCCTGATTGAGCACCCTGTACCTCTCCACTCACCAGGGGAAACCATGTTGGCCACGGTGTTCGGTGTCAAGTCAGCACCAGCAGCATGTCAGCAGGTCAGCACCAGCAGGCGGGGACCAATCCAAAGCTCCCACAGGAGAGGGAGGGGAGGAGCTGGGATTGGCAGCAGTGTTATGAGAAAAACTCGGTTATGTTGGATAATTCAGAGACAGGATCATGAATGGAGAGGGGGATAAAGAAGCTCGTGAGCCCATAGCCTTGGTGGCCCTGGTGGGAAGGGGCAGGCCCCCCCATGACTGGGTCCTCCCTGTACTTGAGCTCACCTGGCATTCAGGGGCTCCTGGTGGGAGGTGCCTATGACATGAGGGGCACAGAGGTAAATGCTGGCTGGATCAAGAGCCAGAGAGGTGAACAGAAGGAGCAGGAAGCTAAGGAAGGAGGAAAGAAAGAGGACTAAAAAGACCCTGAAAATGGAAAAATGGGGGTGGGGTGTCCTGGAAGGAGCAAAGGGAAGAATGAAGATTCTGTCCCTGATTTGAAGGATGTGGAGTGGCACAGTCGAGAACGAGTCTCCAAAATGGCCAGTACCTGGAGAGCTGTCATGATAAATTCAGCCGTTCCGTCTAGGAGGATGGAGAAAGCGGATGTTTGGGACCATACAGTGTGAAAGCCCAGAGTGGGATGGCAAAAACTAGCTGACTGGCGTGGACAGGAGGGGGCGTATGAGTCATGTGCAGGTGTACCTGCCTCGTGCAGGGTGGGGACCCATCTAACTGGAATCAACGCCCAGCCTCTCCCAGTCTCCTTAGATGACAAGCTTTGGCATCCTTGGTCCACCCAACTCAGCCCCCAGGCATTTTGTCAAAACATCAGTAAACAAGTACAGGTGAGGGAGGTCACAGGTCTCTGTATTTTGTACTGTTTTCTCCTTCCAGTGACCAACTCGTGACTAACCAGGAATTTCTTGGGCTTTATTTGTTTATATTTGTGTTTCTTTGTTTTGGTATTAGGGATTGAACCTAGGGACGCTCTACCACTGAGTTCCTACACTCCCAGCCCTTTTTATTTTTTCATTTTGAGACAGGATCTTGCTAAATTCCTGAAGCTGGCCTCTAACTTGTGATCCTCCTGCCTCAGCCTCCTAAATTACTGGGATTACAGGTGTGTGCCTAGCTTAACAGGAGCTTTATACTCTTTCCTCAGAGAATAATCAGAAGGTGGCCAAAAGCCTTCTTCTGAGCTCAGAGTAGGTTTATTTTTATATTCTATTTCTATGGATAAGCAAACCAAAGTTTGTCTTAACCATGTGGGAAAACTGTCTCCTGCCTCCAGCATGTCCAATGCCCTCAACAGCCCATGTAAACTCACCCACAGCAGCTGGTCCACTTTCTTGCCCAAGTTAAATCGTAAATGAATGTTATTAACTATTATATCCAACATTTGTTTAGGGATTTATACTTTCCAAAGCAACTCATAATCTTATTTAATCCTCACAGTAATCCTGCGTCACTGTTATTTTATTTTAAAGACATTGACTCTCAGAAAGGTATTTTCCTTAAGGCCAACCTCAGATTCAAACTTGCAGACCCTGACTCCAGGTCCTTCGTGTTTTCCATACAATGTCATGCCCCCTCCCCTAGATTTTAAAGTAACACCAAGGTCAGGATTCCTTCCTGGGGATCTTTCCTCAGATGATTTGTCCCCTTAGCCTTTCTCCCATCATCCCCATCTCCCCTCACTTCTTTATATTTTGTGTGTGTGTATATGTGTGTGTGTGTGTGTGTGTGTGTGTGTGTGGTGCTGGGGATTGCACCCAGGGCCTGGTAAATGCTAGCTAAACACTCTGCCTCTGAGCTACATACCCAACCACCCTCATCTCACCTCACTTCTGTGACCATCCAATAGAAGAAGAGTCTACTTCTCAGCAACATACAGGTAAAGAAAATGAGTTTTCCTGAGGACCCTTCAGATTCACCAATAAACTTCCTTTACCCTGCAAAAGCAATATGAAAACATATTTTTATATTCTATAGAGACGTTAAAAATATAGAAAAAAATATATAGAGAAGTTTAAAATATAGATAAAATGCAGAATAGAATAAAAATGCAGAATAGAATAAAAAACATAGTCCTGACATCAGCAATAACAGTATTGTAAAAATGGTGGCATGTCGTCTTCCATTACTTGTATGATGTACACATAAACTTACTTTGTTTACAAAAATGGTGCATGTACCCATCCCATGATGCTGTTTGGAAACTTTCATATTAACTTAATATATTACCAGCATTTTCCTGAAATGTTTTTATAACATCATATTCAGTGAGTATATATTTTAAATTTTAATGTACTTTAAAATCAAATATTTAGGTTGCTCCTACTTTTTCAATATTATAGCAACCTGTTTTATTATAGATTTCTATTTATAGGTAAATTGTATCTAATTTTCATTTATTTGATTATTAAAGAATTTGAGTATTTTTTATATGATTTTTATCACTTAAAGTTTTTTATGAATATCTAATACTAATTTGTCAGTTTCCGTGGTGTGTGTTTTAGTTTTCTTGTGGATGTGTAAGAACTCTATTTCCCTCCCCCCACCACTGAAGCATCTTACTCAGCTGCCACCTTGCTCTGCTCAAGAGCTCTTCATATGGCAAAGACACATGTTAGCATTACCTCTTAGTGACCCACTTTGCATCTGTGTGTGTGTTGTCCCCGTCACCCCTACTCTTCCAACCTAGACCATGGGTGTTTGGGTTTTTCCTTTCCTCCTTTTCTTTGACAGATTAACCCCAGTCCATGCGTTCTTTTTTTTTTTTTTTTTTTTCTCCTTTTGTGGAACTAGTGATTGAACCCCGGGAGTACTACTACTGGGTTACATCCTCAGCCCTTTTTATTTTTTTGTGGTGTTAGGGATTGAACCCAGGCCCTTTTGCATGCAAGGCAAGCACTCTACCAACTGAGCTATATCTTCAGCCCCCCATCCCTTTATTTGAGACAAGGTCTCAGTAAATTGCCCAGAGTGTTCTTAAACTTGAGATCCTTCTGTCTCAATTGGTTGGGATTACAGGCTAGTGCCACCATGCACAGCTCTTTTCTATTTTGAGACAGGGTCTCACTGAATTACCCAGACTGGCTTCCAAATCCCTCTGGGCATAGTGGTACATGCCTGTAGCTTCAACACTCAGGAGACTGAGGCAGGAGGATCACAAGTTCAAGGGCAGCCTCGGCAACTTAGGCCCTAAGCAATTCAGTATGACTCTGTCTCAAAATAAAAAGCATTGGGGATGAGGCTAAGTGGGAAGTGCCCCTGGGTTCAATCCCTAATATCAAAAAAAAAAAAGACAAAAGAAGGAAAGAAATTCCAGACCCCATGAGAGTAGTCTCAACCTTTCTATTCTGACTTCCAGAACCTTCATCTCCTCCCGCTCCCTCTGACAGGATCTGCTGCCTGGGGAGTACGTTGCACCCTAGAGCCCCTATTTCAGAAAACCTTGATGTGAACCCCTTAGAACTCCGGGAGAACAGTGGAAGAGCAGAGACATGGGAATTTTAGCATGAGTAGTGTCATGGCAAGAACAGAGACCCTCAAGTTTCTGAGCAAGGCCCTTAGCGGTGGGCACACGGCCACAGGCTGCTGGCAGCAGCCGGCCCCCCTCCTCCCCAGTCCCAGGCGGGTCCGCTCCTTTGCCCTGTTATTACCGCTGGCAGGTCATTTGTGCAGAGGGCAGAAGGGACTCAAGTCCTTCCAGTTCTCCTGGTCTCTTCAGCAACTCATCCGCTGCTGCGTGTGGGGAGGGGGAGGCGCCCGGGCCTGTTACCTGGAGTCCCCAGAGGTGGAGGCTACAGGGAGGGGGCTGGGCGGGAGCCGGCTGGACTGGTCGGGCAGCGGAGGTGAGGACAGCATGAGTTTCTTACAAGACTAGAAAACTGGGGCTGTAGGGTGGAGGTCGGGTATGATGAGGGTTGGTGCTGGAGTCCATGTCTCTGGTGGCTTTGGAATGTCCCACCCCACTCTGAGCAGCTTCTCTCTGCTCTCTCGCCCCTTCTCCAGGTTTGGAGTGTTTAAAAGACAGTGTAGCTGCAACTTTAGGGGGAACAAACACACCTGGCATTCTGTGGCAGGAGCCAGACTAGCACCTGGTCCCCTATGAGGCCTTGGCTTTGCCCTATAGTGGAGCCTTGGGGTGTCCACTCTCCTTTATTCTATTTCCACACTTTGGGGAAGACAATGTGATGTCAGAGACTGTCCCTGTCTATAAAGAGACAGTAACAGTACCAACACCTCAGGGTTGTTGGAAGTTTCAAGGAGATTCCATTCAACACACCAGATGGACAGAAGGTGGGTACTCAACCCTGCTCACGTTTCTTCCTTCCTTCCTTTTTCCTCATCTCTGTCATCATGGGATGACATTTGGAACTTAGAGATTTCTGTTCTAGGCTGGAGTCTGTAGCAGGGTCAGTTCTGGGTCCCAGGTGGAGCCAGCTGTTTCTGTTCTCACTGCTGGTGTGTCCTGCATTGGCTGGGGCCATGTTTGTTCCCACTACCCATGTGAACTTCTGGAACAAGGTCATTTTGTTCAGTCTGGCAACAAAAAACCTCCACAGGGCACCTGGCATATTGTAGGTGCTCAGTGTCCAGAGAACAAATGCAGATCTCTCATTCCATAGTCAAAAGCCCAACCTCTGGAGTCCAGCAGACCTCTGATCAATCTGGCTTCATTGTTCACTAGCGTTGTATGACCTTAAACAGGATGGTTAATCTTCCTGAGCCTCAATTTCTTTGTCTAAAAATAGGCACAATAATAACTACCTCCTTAGGTTGTTGTGAGGATTAGCAATGACATCATAGGGAAGCCTAGCTCGAAACTGCCCGCGCGTAGTAGGAGCTCAATAAATGCAAGGGATGATTAGCTGTGGTGACAGGAATGTTTACATGTGTGCCTAAAGCAAAACCTAACTCTGAGGACTCTTAGGTTTTTAATAAGTGATATGTGGCCTCTCTCGGTGCCCTAGGACCTACACCCCAAATGCTGTTCTATGGGATGGGACATGCCGCTGTGACACTAACAGGTGGAGTTACCTAACAGCCTGGACATTCAGTGACACTCACCTGCCATGGTGTCCTCTCTAGGTGGGAGGTGGCGTGTCAATGCCCCTCAAGTCCTCAGACAGGAGGGAGTCTGAACACAGGTAAGCAGCCTGCATTTGAGGTTTTGCACAGTGACAGTGACCTGGCTCCCCCACCCCCCCACATCTGAGTACATTTTAAAAAGATTCCTGATTTTGTTTTATTCTATTTTAAAAGAATGAAGAAGGAGCATATGCACCATTTTACAGCAGTCCCGCTCATCCATGGTCTCAGTTGCCCAAGGTCAGTCACAGTTTTAAAATACTAAACGGAAAATCCCATATTTTGAGAGAGAGTGTGCACATGCACACATTATCACAGTATGCTGTTGTAATTGTTATATTGATTGTTAGCTGCTGTTAATCTCTAACTGTGCCTCATTTATAAACTTCATCATAGGTCTCTGTGATAGAAAAAAAGCAGTGTACACGGGGTTCAGTACTCTCTGTGGTTCAGGGATCCACTGGGGGATTGCAGTGCATCCCCTGAGGCTAGCAGGGACAACTGTATTCAGTGAGAAGAAGTCAGGAACACATGGAACAGCCACTTGCCTCCCAGCTCTTACGCTCAGGGAACAGCCCGGGAGACCTACTCCAACATGCCTCCTTTGCCCAACCCGATCTCCACACCTGACTCAGCCCACCCTCCTGCTGGCAGCCACTTGCCCACATGCCAGGAGCCCGCAGCCCACAGACACTGCCCCGGGGATCTTCAGGCCTAGAGGACACAGGGAGGCAGAGCAAGAGCACCAGGATGGGCCAGAGGTGCCCAAGGAGCCTCACTGCCGAAGGGGGGTGGGCGTCAGACAAACTTCAGGATGAGGAAGGGGCTGTCAGGGGGCACGAAGGAAGCGGGTTGGTTTTGGACGTGAGAGTGGGACATCCTGGGTCAAGTGGCAGCCATGGCTTCAGGGGCTGGACCCAGAGTATAGGAAAGGGAGCCCCTTCCCACAACAAAGCAGGCCATCGTCACCCCAAACCCAGAGCTGGCACAGCCTGCACCTGCTCTCACCCTTCCCTGGGCTTTCTCCCATGCCTGGTCTGTTCACTTGAGTGTAGCCATCCCTAGGGTGTGCATTGTTCAGACCTCCCTCGTGTCTGACTGGAAGTGACTGCAGCTCCTCCTCCTTTGCTCCCATCCTGGCAGGGTATTAAGAAGAAGCTAGGACAGAGGCAGAGCCACTGTGGAAAGCTGCAGGTTCTGGGTGGTGGAGGCTCTTGGTTGGGATCCTGGGGTGGTGGACAGAGGAAGGGAGCCCAGGAAGAGGGCCCCAGCTGCCACAGCCTCAGAGCAGAGCAGGCTGGGTGGGGCAGAAGCACCGGTAGGGTGAGGCCTTGGCAGTCACTTAATCTAGCTGGGTCAGAGTCTTGCCTTTCCTCCAGCCCACGGTAACCATAAAGGGACAGGGTCTGGGTAGAGTGCAGCAATTGTTTTGATGAACTTCTCTGCAAAAAAGACTCATAAGATAGAAAATCAGAACACAGAAAACATTATTTTTCTGATTTTACTAGTCGAAGGGAAGGTTATAAAATAAGACAAAAAAAAAAAAAAAAAAAAAAAGTCTCATGAGGCTTCAGCTTGGTAATGAACCCAGAGAGACAGAAATGTAAACACAAACCGCTCCCAGCTAAACTCTAGAACTTTCAGAATAGAGCAGCTTCCACACACACAACAGTAAAATGAAACTGGTCTGCAGAGTTAGTCTATATCCAGCTCCATTCAAGAAGCTCTTTCCTTTCAGCTCAGCCTGGAGTGGGGCAGAGCTGGGGTCCACAGAGTCGCTGCACCTTCCCGGCAGGGAGGCCATGGCGGTTCTGATGGGTTTGGCTTCCGTGGGCTGCTCAGGCTGCCCAGTCTGCTACATTCTGTGGCCTTCTGGTGGATCTGCTGGAGGGCAAGGGAGGCAGGCTGGCTGTGGCCTCTGCCCATCTTCTCTGACCCACTGGAAAAACACCCTTTTGACTCACTGCTCTTTGCTGTTATCAGCAGGAAACCCAACTACGCCGAGGGAGCCTGACCACTGCTCAGAGGAGCCAACCAGCTCAGGTACTCAAAACCCAGCTTTGCCATTTAGAAAACAGTCAGGAAAAAGGCTACAAAGAGAATTTATTAGCCATCTCACACTCTCTTCCCTCTCGAAGTTTCAGTTGTCTTTATTTTTTGGTGCCAACTGTTGGTTGCTGTGTTCGGGTGTCTGACTCACCCAGGAAAAGGGCTGGCTTTCCAGCCCTCCTGTGCTGGAAGCACTGCAAGTAGCAGCCTCCCCGTCACAGACTCTCCATCCTGCCTGGCTGACCTCTGTCGTCAGCCTGGGACCACCAACAAACAGTGCCAGCAGGCTCTTCAGGAAACCTGGGGACTGCCGGGAGAGGATCTGGGAGGCAGAGCCCCAGGGAGGAGCAGAAGTGAGGTGCTGCCCAGAGAAAAGGAAGGAGAGGAGGAGCAGCGCACCCTCCGCAGGGCCCGAGGAGGTCTTCAGTGGAGATCTCAGGGAACAGGGGTGGTTTGGGCAGGAGCCCCAGACCCAAGGCACAGAGAAGTTTGAAATGTCCAGGATAAATAGAACCACACAGGGAGGAGAAAAGCCAGCTCCATCCCTCTGTTAAAAACAGTCTCCATGGTCACCAAATATATATTAATATCTGTACATTTGTCATCTTTTAAAAAAGGAAATAAAACCTCCCTGGCACCTTGATTTTTTAAAAATGAGGTGATACCTGAAGAGGCCTCCTGTGTGCACCTGTGTACACACACGAGTGACACATCTATTTGAACACGCACAGAGCAGTGCTGCACACACACATGCACATGGCTGTGCACGCATGCGTGGCCTGCAGGCGCACAAGCCTCCACCAGTGCCCACGTGGGTCTTTGCAGGGTGCTCCTCGCCAGTGTTCTTGACTCTGCTGTCCAAGGGGACCTGCAGCCTCTGTCCTGCACTCAGGGCCCAGGGCAACAGGATCCCCTCTCACCGCATTTCCTCTGTGAAGGAAGTCCTGGTGCCTGTCTCTGTAGGTGGCAGCTGCTAATCCGTGGGCCTCACCCCTGCCCAGACATCTGCGTGTCTTTCAGGTGCAGATCAACTCTGCCCATAAGACAAACAGGGAAATGAGTCGAGGTCGCATCAGCCTGAGTGAGGGGGACTGCACAGACTCCAGTCCTGATGTCAGGGTTGTGAGGAGAGGCCACAGGAGGGCGGACTGGCTGGGCAGCAAGCCTGAGCTGCTCAGAGGTGGGGACTGCCCTGCAGTAGGGATGTCACAGTGTTCTGCAGGGCCACAGCCACCTTCTTGGAGGTCTTGCGCAGCAGCGGGCTGTCAGGGTGGTGCTCCTTCAGGTGCAGGATGTGGCCCTCCTGGCTCTCAGACGTGCAGCCACACTCCTCGCACACGTACAGCTTGGCCCGGCGCTCCTTATACGCATACTTCTGCTGCACGCCATGGATCTTCTTGAGGTGAGACTCCAGGGAGCAGCGCTGGGTGAAGGCCTTGTCGCACAGGCTGCACTTGTAGGGTCTCACTCCTAAGGAAGACAGGGGCCAGCATCAGGGACCTGACAAGGGACCTTGGAGCCTGTCAGCAGCATCCAGACACAGAAAGGTCAGGACATCTGACTCAGGCAGAGGGATGGATGAAGCCTGTCCATCACCACTTTTCCCGAGTGACTCTCAAATCAAGTCCACATCCCTGATCTCAGGAGGACTTCTACCCTGAGCTGCAGGATGCCCCTCCCACCATGGAATCTTCCCACATGGCCTGGGTCGGGCAGTCCTGGGGTGCTCTCTCCTGGCCTGGGCCTGGGCCTGTGCTTACCAGTGTGGGTTCGGACGTGTCTCTTGAGGTCAAAGGTATCGTTGAAACCCTTCCCACAGTATGTGCACAGGTGCCTCTTAACATCATTGTGACATTTCATATGGCGATTCAGCATACGCTGGTAGGTGAAGGCCTTCTGGCAGATGTGGCAGGTAAAGAGGTCTCCACTAGGACTGTCCCCCAGGGTAACCTGTGGGCAAGGACAGCATTGTGACAAACATCCAGAATTTGGGACTGCCAACCCCCAGCCCTGAGGAAAGCAGTGTCTATGTCCACAGGCCACAGCCCTGGGCCCTCTGCTCAAAGATGGGAAGTCTGGGGGCTCAAAGGAACCTCTGCGTCATGGGTCCAGCATCCTGCTTGGTTCCTGAGTTCCCTTTTGAGGCCCTCCTTAACCACTGGAGACAGGCAACTGAACTACCCAGAAACAGCTGTGCGTCCAAAGACAATTCACTCTTCATGGAGGCTAAATCTGCATGTCTCTAGTGTCTATTAATTCATTCCTGTTCTGCCTCTGTGACAGAGTAGATGACCACCCAGGGAAAGGGTCTCGATCGCAGCCTACAGACTGAAGCATGCAGCAAGACTAGAATCTGGCCCAGGCCAGCCAGCTCCCTGGTTCACTTGAGCCAGGTGGCATGGTGTGGGTCAGACCCCTGTGCCATCCATCCTCTGGCCTGTAAATCTTTCTGATGTTTTTCTAATTATGGAAGATTTCAAATTTATACAAAAGTATGGAGACAATATCACAAGCCTGTGCCTGTCACTCAGGGCCACTCCTGTTCCATCTCTTCTACCCTGCTTCCCCCTTGCCTTGTCCATTTGAAGCAAGACCTGGGTGCCTGTAACACCTTGGAAAGTATGCTGCTCAGAGTGGCTACAGCAGCTCCCCAGGTGAGATCAGCACAGGAGTGGCTGAACAGCCAGGATGATGGAGTCTCTACTCTCACCTCTGTTACCATCTAGAGGGTGCTTGTGCTCTGTGGGTGGTCTGTCTCTGGCTGCTCCTCCTGAGATCCTGGGCCTCTGTCGCACTACACCTCCTATTTGGCACCTGGGAAATGTCAGGATGCAGTCCTCCAACTCCTCTACTCTCCCCACCCACAGGGGTCCAAGAGTCAGGGGAAGAGCAGCAGGGGCACAAAGAACACGATGTTCCCCCCCAGTTGCAATATGGTGTTCCAGTCTTTGGTGACACAGGACATCAATAAAGGAGTACCCTTCCCTAGATCACTGTGCAGATGCTGCCCAACCCTGGAGCTTCCAAAGTGCAGACCCAGGCAGGCCGGTTCTGCTGTTGGTGCTGTCCTTGGGAGCAGGGACACCTGCGCTGCCTCGTGCCTGTACTGTGGAGGGTACCGGGGCTGCTCACCCAGGCCCAGCTCTAGTCATGTCCTTAGACACTGATCAGGCTGGAGACACAGATCTGGGCAAGGTGGTTGCTGCTTCAGGGAATAGTTAATTGCTAGGCCACTCAGACCTCATGCTCAATGCGACCCAGACAGGAGATGCAGCCAGGCCAGACTCCTGCCTCTCTGCCTTGGGGGGCTCTTCCTACAGCTCTCCTTGCTTCTTGTGGCCACACAAACCATGCGGTCAGTGGCCGTTCTCACTTCAGACTTACGTCTCTTCCATCTGTGCTGCAGTTAAATTCTTCTCTGCAGAAGCCTTGGCCCAGGGCCCAGGTCAGTCTGCCTACATTTCATTGGTGCCACATCTCATGGGCTGGACATAGGTCTCCATATGTGCCCCTGGTCCCTGAGACAATGTGACAGTCGTTACCTTCATCTTGGTGCGTAGGAAGCCCTGATCTCTGCTTTGGGGGTCAGTCAGGCGGCCCACATCTTCAGAGGGCAGCTGGGCCACCACGCAGGCTCCTGGGGCCGTACTATAGCTGGAGTCCCGAAGGCTCATGTCCACAGCCAGGGGGCAGGAAGGGGGTTCGGCCACTGATGGCTCTGGCTCCCGGTAGGGCTGTGGTGGGCAGAAGCCCAGGCTGACTGTGGAGAGAACAGCCGGGTGAGGATTTCAGAAAGGTTCTCCAGCAAGAAGGTGGCTAGAGCCTCTGTCCCAGCTCTCACAGGCATGTATAGAGTGGGGCTTCTCCCAACCACCACGTGCTGCGCCTCCCTTCTGCCCCATTAAGGTAATTACAGGTGACGCCAGCCAAGCGCCACTGCCCGCTGAGTAATTTGTGTCTTAGCGGAACTGGGAGGACCAAACTGCCCTGCCAATTATGGCTGCAGACCTATCGGCCTGCCCCACCTGGGCCAGTCCCTCTGGATTCCAAGCTTGTGTGTGCTCCTGCTGGGACAAAGGGCACCACTGGAGGCCCTGGCCAAGGACAACTCCTTGAGAGTCATCCTGGCCCCAGAGGGTGATGGTCTGGGACCCTTCAGGCTTCTCCTCCAGGCAGATTTAGCCATTGGTCTTGGGTTTTTAGGTGGTTCTAGACCCTTCCTCCTCTAGCCTGCTAGTCCCTGCTGTCATAGCCCATCAGGGCTCCAGGCTCCCAACTCCAGCCCAGCCCAGCTCTGCAGGCAAACAGGCCAGGTGGGTGGAGAGGGAGGAGTTCAGGGAGCAGCAGGTGGATGCTCGGGCAGCCTGCCCGGGGCTTATGCAACCCTCCCCCACAGCGGACCGCTTGCTGTGGCAGCCAGGCTGGGCTCCCTCAGGCAGTGGTAGCACCGATACCTGGCAGCCACTCCCTGCAGCAGACACATCACAGTAAACGGGCCAGGGAGGCTTGGCTGCAGACCCTCAGCCCTGGTCCTGATGAGAAGTGACCCAGAGGAGTCAGGTCTTGAAGCCAGCAGAGCTGGGCAAATGGTCTAATATTTCAATTAAAATCTCAGTACATCCTAAGGTCTGAACTTAAAACCTATAAATTTCAGAAAGACAAATCAAGAGGGACAGTCCTGGGACAGAAAGGATGAGGGAGCATGAGAGAGAGGTGCATATGGGATTTCAGTCCCACCAGCAAGGTCCTCTGCCCCAACCCCTCCAAGCTGGAAAGACAGTGGTGAGGACCAGGGCAGGGCCGCTGCCCTCACCTCTTCTGCAGGACAAATGGGGATGTAGCAGAAGGAAGAGGACCGGGATAATGGAGGCTGGGTAAGTATGAGGGCACTGAAGTTTCAGGAAAGGCCCCAGATCTCGCCCCCTCAAAACACAACAAAGCTCTGACGGGGGAAGAATGTGCCTGCCCGCGCCCAGAACCCGTTCTACGGGCGCTGGCGTCCGTCTGTCCGGGGGACTTTAATGAGCCACCTCATTCCAGGGGTTGATTCACCAGCGCCAGGCCCTGGCCTGGCCCCTGAGCTGGCGCCCCACCTCTCTCTGAGCCACACAGGCTGGTGTCAGGCCCGAGCTCTGGGGGTCCAGCTGTCAGTGGCCTGTCTGCCCTCCTACGTCTGTGCACAGGGGACCAGGCTGGGTGACCTAGGGCACAGCATTGGCAGCTACTGGTGCCAGCTTACCGGCCACTGATGACCTTGGCCAAGTGTTCAAAACTGAACGGCCATTTCCATTTCTCAACCCAGGTGGACAAAACAGGGATCTCTACTCTCCTGGGTCTGTCAGTTTGGGATGTTGTGAATGAGGAGCCTGAAAACCCAAAGCCAGAACCCAGCTCTGTCTGCCTTGGAGCAAAGGAGAGAGGAGGGGCAGCAGGTGAGATGAGTTAGTTTGAACTCAGAATGAACTGTAGAGTGCTTGCCTAGCATGAGCCGGCCCTGAGTCTGATTCCCAGAACCCCCCCACCCCAAAAAAAGTTTTAGCCTGGCCTGGGGGCACACACCTATAATCCCAGAGATTTAGGAGGCTGAGGCAGGAGGATCACAAGTTCGAGGCCAGCCTGGGCAACTTAGTAAGACCCTGCCTCAAAATAAAAAATGAAAAGGACTGGGGATGCAGCTCAGAGACAGTGCAACCCTAGGTTCAATCCCCCACCCCAAAAAAGAAAAGAAGTAGAAAAAGGGGGCTGGGGTTGTGGCTCAGCGGTAGAGCACTCACCTAGCATGTGCAAAGCCCTGGGTTCAATCCTCAGCACCACATAAAAATAAATAAATAAAATAAAGATATTGTGTCCAACTACAACTAAGAAATTTAACAAATTAAAAAGAGAAGAAGAAGAAGAGGAAGAAGAGGAAGAGGAAGAAGAAGAAGAAGAAGAAGCCACACTTTGTTCTCTGGCTTCACTAGAGGGGAGGCTCATGGTTGGGGTCCTTGGGACCAACCTGTAGGGAGGCAATCCCGTGTCCTTTGTCTGCTTCTGCCCTTCCACACACACCTGACGTAGCTGGTGCTGAGCATGGACAGGGTGAAGCCTCCCTGGGTTGGCTCTCTGTGCCACCTCTACCCTGAGAGAGGGGCAGGTAAGGCTGCTAGGGTGGGGATATTGCCTCATCCCGCCCACCCTGCCAAACCTGTCTCCCTGCCACCCCCGTGTGTCCCTGCTGGGCTGCATACACAGGAGTGCACATTAGCATGCCACACGTCTGAGTGTCACTGTGATAGGAGGCAGGAAGCAGAACTGGTCAGGCCCTGCTGGTGCTGCTCTCTGTCCCTTAATTAGATGTTTCCAACAAGGCGGTGGCTGCTGTGGCCACTCACTGCCCACCCACAGCTGTGGAGTGTGGTAAGGCCAAACTAGCCTACCTCCCCTCCTCCCTCAGGAGCTCATGCTTTGCCTCCTATTGGCCCAACATGCCTCCAGACCAGTCCAGAGCGATGGGATGGACAAAAAGGGACTTAGGTCCAGGGTAGCTGCCTATACAAGGGTCACATTCTGCCTTATCCTCCAAAAGTCCCCCCTCTTAAAACCGAGCATCATGGCACACGCCTGTAATCTCAGAGACTCAGGAGGCTGAGGCAGGAGGATTGCAAAGTCAAAGCCAGCCTTAGCAATTTAGTGAGGCCCTAAACAACTTAGTGAGATTCTGTCTCAAAAAAAAAAAAAAAAAAAAAATTAAAAGGCTGGGGATGTGGCACAGTGGTTAAGTGACCCTGGGTTTAATCCCCTGTATAAAAAAAAAAAAAAGTTCCCCCTTTCTTGGGTTGAAAGTCACTGGCCCAAATAGTGGCTAGGATGCTAGGTCCTGCCCCATCAAAGGCCTTAGACTGGGCAGGAGGCCTGATCCCTGGCTCTCTGGGGAGAGAATGGGGAGAGCAAGTGAGGCAGATGTGAGGGTGCCCCACCTCCTGGGTGCTGACCACGCAGGTGCTGGTGGGGTCAACTCTCTTCTGGGTGTGTGCACAGCCCAGGCTGGTTTCAGGCAGCCTTGTACCCTTATCAACAAGGGCTGGGTTCCCCTGTGCCCAGTCCTGCAGGTCAGCTGGCAATCCTCTGAAAGGAGCGGTATCTGCCATCCAGCAGGGCAGCAGCCTGGGGACACATGGACCTATCTCTCGGCCTTCTGCTGCCATCTCTGTTGGGCGATATCTGCCCCCTTTCTTGATTGCTTTTCATTCAGTGTCCATGGTGAAGTCAGAACTGTGTCCTCAGTCCTCACACCAGTGTGTATGGCTTGGCCAGCCCGGAAGTGCACTTCCTGTGGCATCCTTCATCCTCCTGCCCAGCACAGGCCTGTGGGGCCCTATAGGATGCCAGAGGATGAACAATGGTAAAAAGGAACCCGACACCAATGATGGCCAGGCTTCAGTCCTCATCCTCTGTGCACCCAGGACACTTGCTCTCACCTGCTCTCTTTCTGGGACAGTCTGGCAGCTTCTGCCACAGGACACCCAAGCTTGGGACAAACAGCTTAGCAGCTTCGGTGACAGTGCCCCATGGGATTTGTAGGAGTCCTACCAGTTAGGGCACAAGCTGCTCTTCTGTCCCATGCACTAACTGGCTGTCTCCTCCCAGCCTCTTTCCCAAGAGGACACAGCAAACCCACTCCACTGGCCAGCACTTCCGGAAGTCACTAGAACACTCACTGGAAACCTAGCTTCTCCCACCGCTCCCACCCCTATTCTGGGGTCCAAAGCTGATTTTCTCTGCCTTTCTGACTCAGCCTGGAAAAAGAATGGTCAAGTCCCACACTGCCTAACAGCAGAGCGAGGCCCAGCTGCATTATCTAAAGGAAACCCCGGGCTCCTGCAGCTCAGCCCCACTGGCCTCTTGGGCTTGTGCCCTGCTGCAGAACCAGCAGAACAGCGGCCGCTGGCAGCCAGAGGGGAGGCCCAGGAGTGGGAGTCTGGGGTTCTGGAAGAGGCCCCAGGGATGCTCCTGGAGTTCCAGCTTCCAGGATGGGTCTTTCCCCAGGTGCCTTCTTGGCATCTAGACTTCACTCAGCAGGGGCCAGGCTTGGAGGGACGCATCATCCCTCCAAGTGGAAGTAACAGGTACAAGTACCTGGTTCATCCTCCAGAAACCAGCATCCTCCTGTTACTCCACAGTCAATACTGACACAACTGAGGAGAGAAGCCCACACCCGGGGAGGTGAGGGAAGATAAGGGGTCAAGGCCCCCCAGAGGGAGCATCCTATCCACTAACCTCCCCCTGATCCCAGAGCAGATGGGGCTCTCTTCTCCCTTGCCTGCATTCCAGACCCAGCTGACCAGGGCTTCCCCTTAGCTTTGGGAGGATGATGGGGGCTCAGGGAAAGATTCTGCCCTGGGAGAGGAACCTGTAGAATTCTGCCTGGGGGAGGAAGGCTGAGGTACTTATGAGACTGGGACTGGGCCCAGTATTTTTAGCCACTCATTCCAGGGAGCTTCTGATGCTCTGAGTGTCTCAAGGGCCCCGGCAGGAAGGTCAAAATTCAGACACCCGCATGTTCCCCTGCCCTCCCTGGGAAAGGGGTCAGTGCTTAGCTGGTCACAACGTGCTGAGAGTCTGTGAGGTGGGGGTGACGGAAACGTGCCCAGTCAACTCCTGGGGTCATGGTCGGTTGGTGATGGAATGACCCAGCCAGAGGACAGGCCACCACAACACTGCCCCCTCCAGCCATCTGAAGCGTCCAAGTGTGGCCCAAGGACATTCCCTTTCTCATTTCCAAAAATTGTGGGAAAATTCTCCAGTGGGTCACGTGGCCTTTAGAGGTAAAACCTATGCCCTTTACTTGGCCCACAGAACTCTCATCCACTGCCAGAGCCACGGGGGCAAGTTTTACCATCGCCCTCGAGGTCAGCCTGCCCTCCATTCCAGGACCTTCTTGCAGAGTGAGCATCTGTACACTCCTCCACCTGGATGGTAGTGGCAGATGAACTGTCCACCTAGGAGTCGTCCCCTGCCCCTGATGGGACAATCCCGGGGCCCAGGTCTCTTCTACCATTCCCACTTTGGCCACCAAAACTCTTATGGGGAAAATTGTTAGGACCCAAGGAAGTCAATGATTTGAACAAGCGGAATTTCTTTGTCCTTTGTAAAAGTCAATATGTGATCTGTTACTAAATGGGATGTGAAATAAAACTAAAAATAACAGCACTCTGAGCCGGGCCCAAGTCTCAGCTCACCTTTAACACAGTCCAAGTTCAGTTTATCAGATCCCATGGAGCAGCTAAGCAGCAAGTCAAACACAGGTTGGGGAGGAGGTAGGAGCAAGGAAGGGCTGGTCTCTCCCTGGTCCTTCCGGAGGTGGAGCACTGGCCAGCTGGTGCGGGAACACAGCCAGCTAAAAACTACAGTCCTGGCCCACTCCCACCTAGATAGGGAGACACTCATTTCCTTTTTTGCCTCAGTTTCCCCACTGGGATCATTCCAATGTTTAAAGAGGCTACAGAGGATGGCCCAGCCCCCATGAGATAAGCTTAAGCTGTGACACATCCCACCCTGGCTTCAGGTCACAGGATCCTGGCAGCTCAGGCCACAAAAACCCTACCCCCAAGAGTTTGATTCAAGAGGGAGACTGAAGCAAGAGCCCTCATTGGCCCCTCATCTGATGATTTCCTGACTTTCCTTAAGGCCCAGGCGGTGCCAGGGAATCTGCAGATCAAGGGTCAAAGTCGGTTGGTTAATTACCACCTCTCCTTCCTTGGAGACACTGGGCAAGGTATTGACTGCAGCCCCCACCCCACCCCCACGGTCGGAAAAGGGGAGTTGCCAAGGCTTCCTGACCAAAGATTTTGTTGGGGGAAGGGGGAGGACAGAAGGAGCAAAAGCGTCCTCAGGGACCCTAGGAAGATGCCTCAAAGGAAGACAACTCGGGTTACTCATTCAAAGTGGACGCGGACTCTTGTCAAGGCGTCTTCTCAAAATAAACTGGGTGCACCAGCTTCCCCGGGCTTGTCTTTGGCTGGGGGGGGGGGGCTCCTTAAAACTACTTTCCGCTCCATGTATCCTCTGCAAGGTTGAAGGATCGCGTTTCTAACAAAGGTGAGAACCGATCCCATCTTCGTCTCAAGGGCAGGCTGGGTGCAAGCGGGCGCCTTCTTATCCCGCTTGCGCACTGTGCGGACCGCGGGGCTAGAGCCGCAGGGCAACTTGGGGATACTCGCCCGCGTCCCCACCTGGCACCAGATTTGTGGCGGAGGGAGAAAGACCTATGGAAGCGGCTAAGGCTCAGAATCTAAGTGGCAAAGCCTCAGCTGAAACTCCATCTCGTTCCCTGCCCCCTAAAGTGGCATCGCTCCAGCGCCCTCCTCGCGCTTCATCAAAGTCTCCGCTTTCTGGATTTACGACTCGAGAGCCGAGGGTCGCCAGAGCGGTGACACACCCCGCTGCCTCCCCTACGCCGTGGCTCGGGCCGGTAGAGGGAGATGGCCCCCGCCCCCACCCGACGCTGCTTCCGCTCGCGAGCCCTCTCCTCCCCGCGCCCGGGGTCAGCCAGCCGCGGGCTAACGGAGCCGCGGCCGCGGCAGCCTGCATCCTGGTGTTCAGCGGCGGGCGCAGAGCCGCTCATCTCCGCGCCCCGCCTTCCCGCCGCCGCGGGCGCCGAGGGCTGCAGGCGCCTCACCTGGCACGTAGATCTCGCCGCGCTCCTCATCTGGCAGCTCGCTCCAGTTCCTCTTGCACGTGGAGACGCACGGCTTCTTCACCAGGAACGCGCGGGGCATTTTCGAACGCTCCTGGCCTGGCGCGGTCCGTTTCCGCAACTAGAACCGGGTCGTCCCACCTTTCCCGGGCCGGCTCGGAGGCGCAGGAAGCGGACAGTTGAGGGGAGGAATCGTCGAGGCGCCCCCACGTTCCGAGGGAAGACAGTGCTGGGACGGCGCGCGCCGGTTCCAACTTCGCGGAGTGTCGCGGTCCCCTCGGTAGCAGAGCCCTTGCAGCCAAGTGCACTGGGCCACGGGGAAACGGCAGGTAGGCGTCTCCTGACTCGACTGGCGTCCCCTCGGCCGCTCGGGAAGTCTTAAAGTGAGAGCCGGACCGACAGGTTCACGCTTTATTGGCTCGCGGCGGTGTGTGTTGGTGGCTGGGCGGGGAGGGGGGTGATCTGATCTAATTAGCTTGGAGTAGCCTGGGGAGCGATGGCGCATGCGTTGGGAAATAACGGTGACAACCCACCTATTTGTTACCTGTCGAACCGGTTTCCATTCCGCTGCCGGTGAGGTGGCCTCGCGGCCCGGGCGGGGCGGACGGGCGGGGGCGGGCGCCGGCACCCAGTCCCCTGCAGCTCCAGCTGCCCAGCCGACCCGGCCACCGCCCCGGACCTGCCAGCCGGGCGTGCTAGCGTTTGCAAACGGGAGTTTCGGAGGGAGTTGGGAAGAGGAGGGAGGGGAGGGCAACGTTATTTGCACCGGCGCTCGCACGCCCAGCGGGTGATGAAATGAAACTCGCCCAACTGGGCCCGGCCCAGCCTGACGCGCCCCAGGCGCCTAGGGAGGCGCGAAGCCGCCGGGTTGGAACCCGCGGTCCGGCCCTCACTTGTTGAACCGGGCCTGCGCCCAAGCGGCCCGGGATCCCAAAGGCCCGACTGAGCAATTCGTGGTTCAATCCAGAGGTATTTGCTGGGTGCAGGCTTCGTGCGGAAAGGCACGCCGGGCCGCAGGAGCGGGGAGGCGGGACGCACATGCGAATGTACAGCCAGCGCCCATTGGGTCCCCAGGACCCCAGCTAGAGTCTTCTGCCCCTTCTGCCCGGAGAAGGCTTGGGAGTAAGCATTTAGACTGCGCTGTACCACCGACATGGTACAAAACCCCAGCACCTTGGTCACTGGACTTACAACATCGTCCAACTCTCCTGTCTCCTGTCTCAAAGACGGGATGTCAGGTTCCATGAGGCTGGAGGAGAGCTGAGGGCGAGGAACCCAGACGTGCTCAGGCCCAGCCTTTTCTTTCTGCAGTCACCGTCCACGAGGGGCAAAGGTTCAACCTGGGACCTCTGCCTCCACCCTACTCCACTGGCCACATTCTGCTGATCGCTAGGCTCAATTGGAGGGATACCCCACATCCACCACCCTGCCCAGGAGTGCTTGGTGGCCTCTGTGACTGGGTTTCTTTTACTAGCTGACCCACTAAGTGCAGGGATAGGAGCCCCTCCTAACGTTTTAGAGTCCCTACAGCACCTACACCTTTCTCACATAGTATTAAGCTTTTGCTGGAAAAGGTTGTAGGGAAATGAGCAATACAGGAGTCAGAAGAGAAGTGGCTGAAGCTCTCAGGCATCTAGTTGAAGGTGACATATTTTCAAGAGTGAGAGGCTGTTTTTCAGAGACCAGTTACATCCCCCCACCCTGTAGAGTCAGTCCTCTATGTAGGTGAGGGGAGACCTTGCAGGCAGCCAAGCCTCCTCCTACCTGACTCCCAGAGTCTGAGTTTGGCAAAGGGGCTTTCCTCAGGTGTCCCTCCAGGGTTACTGGGAGGAAGACATGAGCTCTTGCCAGGGGCTGTTAATGTCTGCCCCTTTCCTTCCTCTTCCAGGGCTCTGTCTTCAGGAAGCCTACACTTCCCTTGTCACCCTCCCCTCTGATCCTGGACCCATTCCTCCAACTGACATTAAGTGAGCAACCACTGGGCACTGACATTTGACAGTAAATCCTGGAGAAACATTGATAAGCATTGATAAATAATCTAGGAGAGAGGTGAAATGACCTTCCCCATTCCACAAGTTTTTCTTGAGCACTTCTGTTGTGTTAGTCCCTGATGGGTTGGTAGGTAGTGGGTGCTCAGTAGCATCTATGAGGTCAACACAGATGACCCCCCAACATAAATGCAGGCTTTCTCATCAGGGGAGAAACTGAAACACACAGGAGGCCAGGTGGGGAGGTCAAATGGGTGGGGCCAGCCAGTCCCACATCTCCACTGGTGCCAAGAGAGCTACAGTGGACAGAGTGAGGTCCCAGGAGGAAGAGTGCTTTATCCATGCTGGCCCCTGCTATAGTTATAGCATCCACTATGGAGCCTGGAATGAAGACAGTTATCAATTAATACTTGTGGGATGAATGAATATCCTATTTTTTCTTGACTTGTGTGACCCATTTGCCTTACATGTGCCAACTTTTGGTAGGGACAGACAGAGCTGATTTCCTAAGTATGAGGAAAAGAGTCTTGCTAAACTGTGATAGAAGGTCCTGGAGAGGGCTGGAGATGTGGCTCAAGCGGTAGCGCGCTCGCCTGGCATGCGTGCGGCCCGGGTTCGATCCTCAGCACCACATACAAAGATGTTGTGTCCGCCAAATACTAAAAAATAAATATTAAAAAATTCTCTCTCTCTCTCTCTTTAAAAAAAAAAAATCTTCAGAAGGTCCTGGAGAGTGGTGGGGACTGTGGAGAACGTGCCTTTTATCTAACAGGCAGTCACAGCATGTCATTTGGGTACTGGAACACAGCATGGCCACACCTTCCCATTTTCCAAACAAGTCAGAAATTCAGATTTGTGCGTGAAGCCTACTGATTTTTAAATGTTACCTCATGTTTTTTTTAAAAACATGGACTGGGTCAAACAAGACACTTCTGTGGGTTATATTTGACCCACAGGCTGCCAGTGTGTGGGCTGTGGTTCAAGGGCAGCTCCAGAGCCAGCAAAGTAGGTGAAATTGGGTAAAACAGAGCTAAACTGTGAAGTGTGTGAGGATGGCCACCTCCTGCTGTCACTACTGTTCACCCAGCACTCAGCACGGAGTCAGCTAGCTATCATTCATCAGTGCCTTAATTGCATTGACAGATATGTCTTTCTTTTTTTTTTTTTTCTTATGGTGCTGTAGATTGAACCCAGGGGCACTCTACCACTGAGCCATATCCCCAGACACCTTTTAAATTTTTAGAGAAGATCTTGCTAAGTTGCCCAGGCTGGCCTTGAACTTGCAATTCCCTGCCTCAGCCTTCCGAGTTGCTGGGGTTACAAGTGTGCCCCACAAAGCCCAGCAATTTTTTTAAAAAAAATTAGTTACAGATGGACACAATACCTTCATTTTTAAAATTTTATTTATGTGGTTCTGGGGATCAAACCCATGCCCCACACATGTGAGGCAAGAGCTCTACCACTGAGCCATAACCCCAGCCCAAGCCCAGAATTTTTTGAGTGCCCACTATGTGGTAGACCCCGGGATTCTTCAATACAGGATAAACAAAGAGATAAGAAAACAGTGCAAACCAGAACCTTTAGGGTAGCTGGGCATCGTGGTGCATGCCTGTAATCCCAGCCACTTGGGAGGCTGAGGCAGGAGGATTGTAAGTTCAAAGCCAGCCTCAGCAACTAGGGAGGCTCTAAACAACTTAGTGAGACTCTGCCTCAAAATAAAAAATAAAAAGGGCTGGGAATGTTGCTCAGTGATTAAGGACTCCTGGGTTCAATGCCCGATACCAAAAATAAAAACAGAACCTTTAGGGTGATGTGGTGCTGGCAGATGGGGGTGCTGAGATCTGAATGAGAGGCGGGGGTCAGCTATGCAGAGTGGGGAAGAGCAATGATCAGAGAAAGGAACAGCTGGTGCCAAGGCCTTAGCAAGAAGGAGCCTTTTCCGAGGCTCGAGGCACGTAACAGTTGTAGTGGCTGGATGGTGAGGGGAAGGGATGGTGTGGGAACTCAGACTGCAGACAGGTGAGTCATGCCATGTGAGGTTCATTGGGGTGGGAAGCTGTGGTCTCCCAGAGCCATCAGACCTGCTAGGGGCAGAATGGACTGTATCAGTGGGGAGGGTGGTGATAAGGAGACCAGAGTAGGAGCTACTGCAATAGTCCAAGCAGGAAATGACGGGTCCCATTCAAGGCATGAGGACCCATTCCAGCTGGATCCTGAGAGGCCATCTCTTGTTGCTACAGTGGATGGGTGTGAAGGAAAGACTGGCCACAGGAGGCAAGTAAGAACCATGATCCTCAAAGTGCCATCAGAATTTAGTGCTCAGGTCCCATCCCAAGGAACACAGGGAGAGCTAGGGTGGAAGCTGGGTGGTGGGAAGAGAGCGTTTGAAACACTGTTCCTGGCTTCCTGTTTTCAGGGAAGGTCTCTGGAGGAACCAGGATGGGATGCAGAGGGGAGGGGCTGAGGATCCTGGAGGCTAAGGCAGAAAGGCACATGGGAGAGATGTCCTAGTGTCCGGGGACGTGGGCCAAGCTCCTACCCTCTCAGGACCTGTTTCTCTACGTGTAAAGTGAGGCTCTGGGTTCTAGTTCTGCCCTCAGCCATCAGGGGATGCTTTGGGTTTGCCTTTGCTCAGATGCCCTTGCAAACAGCTGTAAAGCAGCTAGGGGCCTCTAGAACAGGTTGGTTAGGTCCATCAGCTGCCTTTCCTCTGTTTGGCTGTAGGCAAAGCCCCTGACACACTGTGAAGTGCCATGGGTGACACTGAGTCTCCATCTCTTGATGAGTTCCTGGCTGGGGGCCCGCTAGAGGGGGTGCTGCCATGTGGCAGAAGGCTGGGGAGGGCGGCTTTGGGGCCATCCAGACACCTGTGAGGGCAGGATGGGCAGAGGAGGCCGTTTGGGGCCATCCAGACACCTGTGACCTCCTCCCCCAACACCCACCCATTGGCAAGTCCCATCAGTTTCCAAATCCATGTCCACCCTGGAGCTCCTCACTAGGACCCTGAATCCGTCTCATGAGCAGCCCCCAGTTCCCTGTCCATGCTCTGAAAACCCAAGTCCTACCATACCTCCCCTCGCCCCAGATAGCATCCTGGTGAGGCCTGGTGTGCCCTGGCCCTGCTGACCTCTGGCTCTGTCCTGCCACTTCCCTGGGTGCCTACCATATCTCCCTCCTCGGTCCCCTGAACAGGCTGCAGCCTCTTCTAAGCTGAGCCTCTCCTGTGGCTCCTCCTGTCCACGTGATGACTGGCCTGATACCTTTCCTCACTTCCCGTTACTGATACCTTTCCTCACTTCCTGTTACCTGATTTTGCTTTCTTTGCAGCACCTTTCATGGCGATATTTGGGTTTGTCTTTTTTATTTGTTGTCTGTTTCTTCCAGTCTTCTGTTTGTGAGGGACCCTCTTGGTAACATTTTTAAAGTTTTATACAATTCACACACCACAAAATGCACTCTCTCTCTCTTTTTTGTAAAATATTCATAATATAAAATTTACCATCTTTTCTTTTTTCATTTTGCAACATGGGGATTGAACCCAGGGGCGCTTAACCACTGAGCCACATCCCCAAGCCCTACTTTATATTTTTTATTTAAAGACGGGTCTCACTAAGTTGCTTAGGGCCTTGCTAAGTTGCTGAGGCTGGCTTTGAATTTGCAATCCTCCAGCCTCAGCCTCTCAAGCCACTGGGATTACAGGCATGTGCCACCACACCAGCAGAAATCACCCCCTTATAATGTGTACAGTTCAGTAGTTGTCAGTCACCTCAGAGTTATACCAAGTCTAGAAAACCTGTGATCCTGGTAGTCACCCTCCATTCCCCAGCACCCTGCCCCTGGCACCCACTACTCTTTGTTTCTGGATGGGCCAATGCACTCCTTTGTTTGAGGCTTCCCTGGCTCCCCTGCATCCAGTGCTGTGGGGATGGGCTGGTTGTATCCCCGTTTTACAGATGAGAAAACGAGATTCAGGACCCCTCAGGAAAACTGGCTTTCCTTTTTCCAAGCCTTATGCCTAGGGTCTCCCCAGAACTTGGCAGCATGGAGGAGGACGGAAACTCAGCAGGAAGAGAGGGAATACGGGAGGGCATTGAGTGGGGAACTCCTTGCTCAGCCATCTGACTGTGGCCCCACCTAGGTCCTTGTAGCAGGAATGCCACTCTCCTAGGCAGGCCTGATGATGAGGCTGAGCTCAACTCTATGCCTGGCCTATGTCAGGGATAGAGCCATCACCACTCTCCTATATGGGAACAACTACCAGGCAGGCAGGTGGAAGCAGCAAGAGAGAGAGTGCATTTTGTGGTGTGTAAATCGTATAAAGCTTTAAAAATGTTACCAAGAGGGTCCCTCACAAACAGAAGACTGGAAGAAACAGACAACAAATAAAAAGACAACCCCAAATATTGCCATGAAAGGTCTGCAAAGAAAGCAGAAACCCAGGGAACTGGACACCCAAGAGGATTGAGGGTAGCTGGTATGTCGGGGGCAAGTCAGACGCAGAGAGGGGCTGTTTGCTGAAGTCCGGATCTACCTGTGAGGGCTCTGGGTCTTCCTACAAATGACTGTACCTCTCTGGACTCCAGACTCTCATCTGTGAGGTACCCATCCTTGATTGCTCAGGCAACCTCAGGGTTGTCCTGAGCCTCAGTGAGTCCATGTGGCACATCTATCTCAGTCCTGGAAACCAGACTTGGGGCCCCCTCTTTCCAGATCCCAGCCCCCAGGGGGCCAAGGCACAGGTAGGCTGGAGTTTGGCAGAGGCATGCTGTTGAGAGGATGGGACCAGAAGGAGCCTTGTCTCTCACAGAGGTGAGGACCCAGGACTTGCAGTTATCAATGCCCTCTGGACCTCAGACAGGAAAACCAGACAGGCTCCTACTCCAAGCTGCCTTCCCTACCCAGGGGTGCTCTCATCCTGGCCTCTTTGATCTTAGGTTTAATTAGCCAGGTGCCCCACCCCACATCCCCTTGGGCGGGAGTCATCACTCCCATTTTATAGATGGGGAAACTGAGGCACCTAGAGGGAAATGGATTGCTGCTGTCGCCTGTGAGTCAGCTGTCAGTCCAGCCCAGAGGAGCCAGGACCAGGCCTTCTGGCTGGACCTGTCTCTCTCCTCGTCCCCCCCCCCCCACCAGGGTGCCAGACAGCCTCCTTTCCAGCTCTCTACCTCACCACTCTCATTTGGAGCGGCGGCAGGATGGGGCGGGGAGAGGCTCGGGCAGACTGGAGGAAGAGGAGAGGCGAGTTGGCATGGGGACTCCTGCGTTTCATCTTCAAAGCTGCTCATTAGAGCCAGAGGCCTTAGTCAGGCGGTGGGCGGCGGGGTTTGGACGCCCTTAGTTCTGTGCCCTGGAAACCAGCGGTCAGTGGAGCAGCCGCAGCCTGGGCCTCTGGCCTAGGAGGCGCTGCTTGGAGAATTCCAAGTCCACCCGCCAGGTGCCCCCAAATAGCTGCGGGCCGGCCCTCTTGGGCGTTAGGACTGTGGTTCTGGACTGTCCTGGGCCGTGGTTTCTCCGTCCGTGCTCCGCGAACCCCGTGACCCGCCAGACCCTGCCAACCCTCTCGTCCCGAGTCTGGGTCCCGTTGTTTCCCGGCTTCACTTGGGCATGTGGGTCCTACCGCGCTCGCTGGACCCGGCCAGCCGCCCCGACCCCGCCGGCCCTCTGTGCGGTCTCGGGCAAAGGTCAGCGGCTTCCGCCAGGCCGCGACCCCGGCGCCGGCTAGGTGCCCCCAAGCTGAGCGGGTGAGGGGAGCGGGATCGGCGTCGGGGACGCGGAGCCAAGAAGCCCTGTGGCGCCCGTCGGACCGGTTGGGCCGGGGCCGAGGCGCGCACTTCCTGCGGCGCCCGGGACCGCGCTTTGCGCACCCCAGCGGCAGCCCGAGGACCCGCGGGCCGCGCGCTCGCGGCGCTGAGTGCGGTGCGCCCGGGCGCCTGCGGGGGGCGCGCGGCCCTCCAGGCTGGCCCGGCGGGCGCCGAGGGTCCTGCGGTCGCCGCCCCCGCGACGGGAGCCCGGCCCACCCAACTCCGCGCCCCTGCCCGGGCCCGCGGCGGTTTCGGGGGGCCTGCGCGGCGGGACAGTTACTCAGCCCCAGCGAAACCGGCGAGTCGGCACCTGCCGGCCGGGCGGGGCAGGCGGCGGCCCCGTTACGCCCCGCCCCCCGCGGGCCCGCCCGGTCTCGGCCGCCCACGCGCCGCCCGCCCGCCCTCCCGGAAGGAGCCGCTGGCCCGAGCGCCCGGGGCGGCTGAGTCAGGCGGTGAGAGAGGCCGGCCCGTTACTGTGGGCGCCGGGAGCCCGGGCGGCGCTGTGGTTTCGGTGCCGGCCGCGGGCGGGCTGGCGGCCTAATGAGCGCTTGGCACGCACCCTGCCCGCGCGCCTGCCCCGCTCGCCCGCGCTGCTGCCCCGCGAGGACCTTGGCTGTCCGCCCCGGCGTCGCCCCCGAAACCTTTAGGTTTCAGTTTGCGACCCAGACGCGGGGTCTCTGCTGGGATCAGCGAGCGGGCGCCAGGGTGACAGCAGCCTTCTTGGCGATGGAGGAGGGCTCGGGCGCCGTCTGGCGGCCGTGGAGCCCCGCGCGTCCGGCCTGACACTCCCTTCTCTCTTGTGCACAGGACCCTGCGTGCCTGACCATGGGGCCCCTGAGCCGGGAAGCCTGGGCCCAGCGTCTCGGGGCCTTCCGGGCCAGCCCGTCAGCCTTCATGGCAGGTGCCGATGGGGAGGATTTGGGTCGCGACCTGCTGAGTGACCTGAGGAGCGAGAAGCTGAGCGAGCAGACCAAGGTAGGCCCTGCATGCGTTCCCTGCCATGGCCCCTGTGGTCACCCCAGCCTACTGCACCCTGAACATCATCTTCATGATTCCCTCCTAAATCCCCCATCCCAGGTTTCCTTGCTGGCCCTGAGCTTGGAGTATCCAGCCCAACTGTGGCCCGACGTCCCTGCTGCCGAGGCGGCTGCCACCTCCTTGTTGGACATCCTGGTCCTCCTACCCCCACGGCCCTCAGCTCTCCGTCGGCCCCTGCTGCTGGCAGCCACCACAGTCCTGGCCTCAGGAGGTGTGCTAGGCCCCACCTCGGGAGCTTCTTGCCGACTCCTGCCCCTACTCCTTGGCTTGGCCACAGGTCGTGATGTGGGGCGAGGCTTTGGTCCCATCTCAGAACAGCGCCCCCTGCAGGCCACCGCGTGTGAGTGCCTACGAGAGCTGGAGAGCTGCAAGCCTGGGTTGCTAGGGGGCTTCCTGGGGCTGCTGCGAAGTCAGCTGGGGCAGGAGGGCCCCATCCAGCCACTTAGCCTGCTGTTGGCACTTGCTCTGCGTAACACCCTGGTGGTACAGTCCAGATCTGGGGCTGGCCTGCAGGGCCTGCTTATGGCGGGGGTTTCCTCCACTGGGGGTGGTACCTGGGACTGGACACTAGTTAAAGAGGGCCATGCTCACCTTCAGCCCCAGGCACCCTGCTGGCCAGCAACAGAGGAGGGAGCATGTGGCCTTGCAATGCTAGAGCCCAGCCCTGAGGAGGTCCGGGAGCTGAGGGCTTCTGTGGCCCAGCTTCTGGATACCTCCTACCTGCTCACCCCTGTGGCCCAGGCCCAGCTTCTGTGGCTGCTGGGTTGGGCCCTCCGGGGTCTGCGGGGACAGCCACCAGCACTCTTCAAGCCACAGTTGGTACGGCTGTTGGGCACAGCCCAGCTGACACTGCTGCACGCAGTTCTTGCTCTCAAGGCAGCCTTTGGAGAGGCACTGTTCACCTCCCAGGATGAGGCGCTGCTGCTCCGCCGGCTCACCTTGGCTGCCCAACACCCAGCTCTGCCACTGCCCACCCACCTCTTTTATCTGCACTGCCTCCTGAGCTTCCCTGAGAATTGGCCTCTCGGCCCTGAAGGTGAGGAGGCTGCCCCATTGCTGCTGGTGCCCCAGTTATGCCGTGGTCTCATGCCCAGTCTCCTGCATGACCCAATGGTCCTCCTGTCCCGCCTGCATTTGCTGTGCCTGCTTTGTGCTGAAGATGAGGAAGAGGAGAAAGGCCCCTTTCAGAACCTACAGTGGTACCTGGAGGAGCTGCTGGATGGCTTGCGGCAGAGGGCAGCCCTGGATGGTGGCCCACGGGCATTGGCCACTCTCTGCTTCCAGGCCTCATACTTGGTTGCCAGCTGCCTGGCTAGGCAACCTATGGTGCTGACACCCTTGATCCAGGGACTGGCCCAATTGTACCAAGCTCGTCCTGTGCTGGCTCCCCACTTTGTGGACTTCTTGGATAGGGTGGGCCCTGAGCTAGAGGAGCCCCTCAGGATGGTACTACGGCAGGAGGTGGTGTCCCGGCCAGGAAGGGATGAAGCTCTTCGCTGGCACCTGCAAATGCTGGCAAAAGTAGCAGAGGGGGATGCCCAGAGTGCCACCCTTAGCTTTCTGCAGGCTGCAGCTGCCCACTGTGCCAACTGGGGTCTACAGGAGGCCCTGCTGAAGGTCTGCCGGGCCCTGCTGCGTGAGGGTGGGGGGGCTGGCCTGGCCGACTTGCTGCAGGCACTGGCCAGGCAGCTAGAGGACCCTGATGGGCGTGACCATGCCCGCCTCTACTACATCCTCCTTGCCCATCTGGCAGGGCCCAAGTTGGGGGTGGCCCTGGGCCCCTCACTTGCCGCACCAGCACTAGCCTCTTCATTAATGGCTGAGAACCAGGGCTTTGCAGCAGGGCTGATAGTGCAGGAGGCCTTGGCCCCCATTCAGCTGAGTGTGGGGCCCCAGAGAGCCTCAGGCCCTCTTCCGGTGCTGCAGCTCCAGGTGGAAGCCCGGGAGCCCGTCTACTCCCTGGAGTTGCGCTTCCTCGTGGAAGGACAGCTCTATGCACCCTTGGAGCCTGTCCACGTGCCCTGCCTGTGTCCTGGCCGCCCTGCCCACCCTCTGTTCTTGCCCCTGCGGCCCCGACAGCCCGCCCCAGCACGGCTGGAAGTTCAGGCCCTTTACACCACACCCACTGGCCTCACGTGCCACGCCCACCTGCCACCTCTGCCTGTGAACTTTGCAGACCTCTTTTTGCCTTTTCCTCAGCCCCCTGAGGGGGCCCAGCCAGGCTTCTTTGAGGGACTCTGGGACTCCTGCCTGCCAAAGGGTGCTGAGAGTCGAGTGTGGTGCCCACTAGGCCCACAGGGTCTGGAAACCTTGGTGTCCCGCCACCTGGAACCCTTTGTAGTGGTGGCCCGGCCCCCTACCAGCTACCACATAGCCATTCGCCTGCCCCCAAACTCCATGCTGCTGCTGCGACTGGAGGCCCCTCAGGTGGACGGAGTGCCTGTGGCCCTGCGGACTGATGACTGGGAGGTGCTGCCTCTGGTTGGGGACTATCTCCGTGGGCTTGCAGTCACTGAGTGACTCCTGGGAGACAGATGGAGTGCAAGTTGCCTAAGAGGGGCTTTTAAAGGCTAGGACACGCTCCTGGAGTGCCTTTTCCATAAAACTTACTTTCACCAACGACCCTCACCGGCTTGTTTTTTGGTTTTGGACTTTGGTAGGAACAGGCTCAACAGGGTAGAATCAGAGAAACAAAGGCCTGAAGTCCAGAAATGCAGGACCCCGTAGTTCTTGCTCAGATAGGCTAAGAGTCTCAGAATTTCTGACCAGGAGGCAGGAGATAAAATATTCTGTTTCCCAGAGTGTGTCTGGCCTTGACCAAGGTCACTCAGCAATATCCTATGGAGGCTGGAGTTAGAACTTGGGCCTCCTAAACTGGGGGCTGGTGCTTTCCAACCCAGGTTCTTAGGGTCCTGGTCCCAGCTCAAGAGTAGCAAAAGGACGTTGCCGTGACTCCTCCTCATCTCCCCAGGCCAATGCTGATGGGAGCCAGCTTAGGGGACAGAAAAGGGCCATGTGATCTGAGCTAGACCTAACCTGGCTCCAAAGCCTGGCCCCTAGGATCCCCAGGCTGTACTTGGGAATCTCAGGGAAGAACTCATTCCCTTAGTTCTTTTTCAAAATATGCAATATGCTTAGGATTCAGATGTGTTGAGGTCAGTTCTGCTGCTGGCATCTACCCAGTATTTTCAACTTGCATTGCCTCATGTCATCCTTGCAACAGCTTTCCAGGGCCAACAGATGAGGAAATTTGTAGGCCAAAGGGGTTAAGTGACTTTTCTAAGCTAGTTGGGAATAGTATTTTGTCATCCTGTGGCAGTTTCCATTATCACACTGTTGGAGCAAAACTCTGCAGTAGCCTCACAGTCCCCAACCCTGTGTGCCCTGGATAGACCCCAGGAGGCTGCAGAAGCAGCCATCAGCAGCATTAGGTGGAAAAAGACCTTGGGCTTGGGCTGATCTTGGCAAAGGAACTCTTCTGCTGCCCCTGCCTCTGGGATCTTCTGGGCCGGTCTTACTTCTCCTGACTGGGTGGACGCTAGGAAAGGAAAGAAGGATCTGGGCCAGTGGAAGCTGTCATAGGTCATTGAGAAGCCAGTTTCAAGGTCAAGCTGAGATGTGAGGGTGATCTGGCTGCAACATTTGTCACCCTGTTGATCACCAGGGTTTATTCAGCTGATCTGGCTGGCTAGGCAGATGTCCCCTTCCTCCCTCACCACTCAATGTGTACCCCTCCCAAAGCTGTGCACTCAGTCATAGAGAAGGACCTTCCCCAGTAGAAGAGGACCATTTTCAGTCAAGGGTATACAAGTAGCTGTGCTCCCCAATCAGGCAGTAATTTGCTGTCAGCTTGCAACAAAAAGGTCAGGTCTCCAGCTGTTATCAGCAGAAAAAGGATGTGAGACAGAATCTCCACACTTAGAAAGTCCCAAGGAAGGTTGGAGACTGGACCTCCAGGAAGCCACCACTGGAGCTGGTGATTTCCAGAACATACTTCCTTGTCTGCTATCTAGCCCTATTCAGCACTAAGAAGGTGGTCCCGGACCTTAGGATGGGGGTGGGACTGCTGCCATTAACACCCACAGAGTGCAGAGAGACTGAACTTCTCCAAGGCTGTGCCTCTGCCACTGAGAAGAGCAGCTTTTGGCCTGTCTCCAGACAGCTAATTAGTGGGATCAATTTCTGATATAGACTGAGCATGATGGTGCACACCTGTAATCTCATTGACTCAGGAGGCTGATGAAGGAGGATCACAAGTTCAAGGACAGCCTGGGCAACTTAGCTAGGCAATGTCTCAAAAAAAGAAAAAGAAAAGAAAGAAAAAAAGGCTGGCTATGACTCAATAGTGTCTCTGGGTTCAGTTCCATATATATATATATATATATATATATATATATATATATATATATATATATATATATATATATAAATAAAAATATATATAAACATACATATGTAAGTATATGTAAAATATATGTAAACACACACACACACATATATATAGTGTGAGTACATTGTGTGTGTGAAGGCTATGAGAAGTCTGATATTTCTGCAGTGTAACTTGCTATATATTAAAAATGTATTCTACATAATATGTAACTTTCAGGAAAAATTGATACCATAACATGAATTGGGGGAGAAGCCACAGCAATCAATAATCTGCCAAACCAGAAAGTACCAGATCTGATGGGTTCACTGGTTAATTCAACCAAACATTCAGGGAATAAATTATACCAATTCTCTGAAATTTCTTCCCAAAGATAGAAGCCGAGGGGATATTTCCTAATTCATTCTTTGAGGCCAGCATCACCCTAATGCAATAAATAAATAAATAAATACATTACAAAAAAAAAGAAAATCACAAACCAATACCTCTCATGAATATTGATGCAAAACTACTTTGTGAAATAGTAACAAATTAGGGGTGGGGAAGATAGCTCAGTGGTAGAGCCCTTGTCGAGCATGCACAGGACCCTGGGTTTAATTCTCAGTACCGCAAAAAAATTCAGCAAATTGAACAATTTATAAAAAGATATACCATGACCAAGGGGAATTTATCCCAAGTATGCAAGACTGATTCAACATTCAAAAATCAGTTCATGTAATCTATCACATCAATAGGCCAAAAAAAGAAATACTACAGGATAATACCAATTAACACAGAATAAGCATGACAAAATTCAATACCCATTCATGACAAAAACAGAAAACTAGAAATAGAGGAGAACCTCCCCAACTTGATAAAGAACAGCTATTTTTTTTCAGGAATGGAATATTTAATATTGCTAAAATATCCATATGCTCCAAAGCAATCTATAGATTAATGATATCATCACCACAATACCAATCATCAAGCAAATAGAGAAAATAATAATGAAAGTTATATTTAATTACAACATGCCCAAAGCAATCCTGAGCAATGAACAAATCTGGAGGCTTCACAAAAACTGAATTCAAGGGATGTTGAAAAGCTACAGTAAACAAAACAGCATTGGTTCTGGCATAGAAACTAACAAGGATACCAAAAGAATTGAATAGAGAAAGCAAAACTAAACCAAGTACACACAGCTAAGTGATTTCTGGCAAAAACTACAAAACCTGTGTTGGAAACAAGAAAATCACTTCAAAAAACCTTGAAAAAGAAGTCCAGACATGGAGATCTTATACTTTCTTATTTTAAAGTCAACAACAAAACTAAACTGACCAAGACAGTATCGTACAGAAATATTGATAAACACATAAATTAATATAATATAGAGTTTAGAAACTTAAAAAATATACATACATTTGGCTAATTGATTTTTTATGAGGATTACAAAACAATCATTGAGAAAGTTAACCTTCTGTCTAACAAATTCTGCTGGAAACCTGACTATTCACATGAAAAGATTAAAAATGGCCCCTCTACCTTCTGCCATATACAAATTTTAATTCAAAACAGACCTAAAGTCAAAAAGACAAGAGCTATAACTATAAACACTAGTAGAAAATATTGTGTAAATATTTATAACCTAGTATTTACCATTTAGAAGAACAGCTATTTTAAAACTTATGAATAACATCATACTTAAAGATGAGAAAGTAGTTTTCCTGCTAAGATCAGGAACAAGGCAAGGATGCTCCTCTTACCATCCTTTTCAACATCATTTTATAAGTCCAAGTTAGTGCAGTAAGACAAGAAAATGAAATAAGTATACTGATTGGGAAGAAAGAAAGAAAACTATGTTTACAGATGATGTGACCATTTTTGTAAAAAACTTGAAAGAATCAACAACAACAACAAAAAAATCCTGAGACTAATAAATAATTATACCAAGGTTGCAGGAGACAAGGTTGATAAAATGAAAAAAAAAAAAGGAAATTGTTTTCCTATATATCAGCAATGAACAAGTGGAATTTGAAATTGAAAACACAATGTCATATACATTATCTCATCCCAAAATGAAACACTTGAGTATAATCCTGATGAAATATGTGCAAGATCTGTAGGAAGAAAAGTACAAAACTCTGGTGAAAGAAATCAAAGAAAAACTGAATAAATTGATTGATGTTCTGTGTTCATGGTTAAGACTCAGTATTGTCAAGATGTCAGCTCTTCCCATCTGGGTTTACAGTTCCAATGCAATATCAATCAAAATTCCAGAGTTATTATTTTTATATTGATAAATTAACTCTATAAATTTTATACAGAGATGTAAAAGACCCCCAAAATAGATAACATAATATTAAATAAGTTGGAGGACTGGCATTACCCAACTTCAAAACCTATTATATAGTAATCAAATAGATCAATGGACCAGAATAGAGGACCTAGCAATAGAGCTACATAAGTAGAGCCAAGTGACCATTAACAAAGGGGTAAAGGCAGTACAAATGGAGCAAAGATGGTCTTTTCAACAAAATGTGCTGAGCATGCAGAAAATGTATCTAGATACAGACCTTATACCCCCACAGGAATCAACTAAAATAGATCATAAACCTAAATGTAAAGGGCAAAACTATAGAAGAGAGTATAGGAAAAGATGACCTTGGGTATCTAGAAGACACTAGATAGAACATCAAAGTCATGATAATATGAAGGAAACAACTGAGAATCTGAACTTCATTAAAACCAAAATCTTGGGCAGAGGATGTAACTCAGTGGTTGAATGCTTGCCTAGCATGTGTGACGCCCTGGGTTTGATCTATCTATCTAAATATATATAATACGTGTGTGTGTGTGTGTGTGTGCGTGTGCGTGTGCGTGTCTTTGCAAAAGAACACTGTCAAGAGGATTATAGTATCTTTCAGTGTAGTTTCACTTCCCTAAAAATCCTGTTTGTTTCCCCTATTCACCCCTCCTTCCCCTTTCTGCTGGAAATCACTGATCCTTTTATTGTCTCCACGGTTTTGTCTCTTCACAACTGTCACATAGTTGGAACCATACAGCATGTAGCCTTTTCAGATTGGCTTCTTTTACTAATACTATGCATTTTAGGTAGGTTGAGCCATGCCTTTTCATGGCTAGATAGCTTATTTCTTTTCAGCACTGAATAATATTCCAATATATGGATGCATCAGTTTATACATTCATTTACAGAAAGACATCTGGTTGCTACCAAGTTTGGGAAAATATGAATAAA